CATAACTAAGGAAGAGAAAATATATTTGTACAGTGAATACAGAGAGCTGAAAAAGTTAGAAAGATGCTTACTGTTAGAAAATGTGTGTGTGTGTTATATTTCAGTGGAAATTCTTTTACTATAGTAATTCCGTGGAAAAATCTTTTACTATAGTAACTCCCTGGAAATTCATTTACTATAGAAATTTAGTGTAAATTATTTTACTATAGAAATTTAGTGTAAATTATTTTACTATAGAAATTTAGTGTAAATTATTTTACTATAGAAATTTAGTGTAAATTATTTTACTATAGAAATATATAGGGAATGATTTTTGCTACAGCACAGGGTTTAAAAGAGAATTTATTAAACAAATATTTCATTTTCTGTCATGATTACATATACCATACAGCAAATAAAAAAATAAAAGTATATATAGATTTTAATTTGAAAAGATTTCCTGTAGAAATAAACTATTTGGGGAGACTTTTTTTTTTTAAAATGAAAAATATTTAAGTAATTCTGCAATTCTATTGGCAATATTTTTTTCACAAGTAATCTTGGACTTTTCACTATAGGCTTATGTCTCATGTGAGAGAGAATTCTGATTTTTCAGTTATGAAAATTAACCATTAAAATGACATAATCTGTTGTTAAATGGGGCAAGCAGTGGCTTGTTAGTTTCAATGCATCAAAAATGAAGCCCACTCTCTTTTAATTATCTGAGAGAACCCTTTTTTATCTGACCTCCAGGAGAGTGAGTCATTGTGCCTCCTTGGACTAACATTTTCCACTGACATGAAGTTGAAAGATTATATTGAGTCAATTGCTTTTAATATTGTTGCCACATCTGATCTGGTGCTCTTGTTACATATTTAGAAATTCTTGATAAAATATAAAGAAGAATCTGCTATATTATTGGTCCTGACATGGCATCTCTGCTTCAGTTGCTTTCCCATCACCATAATGTAACTTCCCTTTGCCTTTTCTATAAATACTTTCATGGTAATTGTTCTAACAAACTTTCTGATATGGTACCTAGAATTCATGAATTTAAGTGCAGTACTAGATTGACATCAAGGTCTCATCTTTTTACAGTCGAAATGTAACAGTTTCTTTTCACTTATATCTTCTTGCTTCCCAATTGACATTGATCTTCAGAAATTTAAGTGCAATGTCAATCATAATTTTCTGCCTTAATTCTTGTTCTTTTATCTTCCTCTCTCCTTAAGCCTAGAACACTAACCATGGGTATATAGTACCCAGCACAAATTTTCCTATTTTTAATTACAATTTTCAGTACCTGATTTTCTTACCTAAATAATGTTTTTCAGTTCCTATTAATGTTAACTCAAAGTACAAAGTTTGAAGTGCCTGCATGTAAAATATTTCAAATAAACATATTTAATTTTTTTTTTTTTTTTTTTGATATTTTCAAAATCGGGTATGATATACCCATGGTTAGTAGTGATGTAACTTTAATTGATGGTTAGTGTTCTAGGGTTAATATTAGTTTTTCTCATACTCTCTAACATTCAGTAGCCCCCCCCCTTGCATCTTAGTTGCTTTATTGCCTTGCTTGGGGTAAAATGATTAAATAAAAATAGTCAAAGAATACTAACATGAATAAAGAAAAAGCAAGTTCTTAACATATCAAATATGAAGACATATCAACATTTTTGTATGAATATCCTAGCGAACACATTGATATGGAGACAGATATTATAAATAAATTTTTGTATGTACACCTTCTATATTTATGTAAATATTTATTGCTGTCATATATGGTCTTGTGCACCCACTGTAAGTCTTGAGGTCCTTGACAAAATCCAGAAACGGATATGCAATGTGATAGGTCTTCATCTGGCATCTAGTCTACATTCACTTTCTCACAGACATGTCATGGCTTCCCTCTGTCTCTTTTATAAGTATTTTCACAGCAACTGTTCCGACAAATTTAAGCAAGCTACTAGGTTGGCATCTTGGCCCCCGCCCTTTACTGTCGAAACGGTTAAATGTAACCGTCTCTTCTACTCAAACAGCTTCTTCTCTCGCACTTCCCATCTTTGAAATTCTTTTCCTCTTACTTGCTTCCCTGATAACGATAATCTTCAAATATTTATATGTAATGTCAATCAACATCTTCTGATACCTTAATCTTGTTCCCCCTGTCCTTCTCTTTATCCTCACCCCAAACACACCTCTTTACTCTTGTTCTCTATCGTCTGTAACCACTTGCATGTTAGTGGCACTCCTGCCTTGCTTGGGGTGAAATGCTTAAAAAAAAAAAGTGTTGTATATCATAATATTTGTGGGTGACAGAACTAGTTTCAACTCACGGGTGACAGAACTAGTTTCAACTCGGTTTGTAATAAAAATTTCCTGAATAGTTCCATTTAGGTGTAAATGTACATGCTTAATTTGAAAATAACAAAGAAATTTTGATAAAATCTACCATTTTAGAGTTATCAAGAATAAAAGTTCAGACTCATTCATGTCACAGTGGGTGACATTGAATTTAATTCTACACCCCATATTTGTGTGTACATTATTATAATATTTGAAACTAATTTACATATTAGATGTGTATATTTCTATTTAAATTATAGTTATATATTTGGAAGCATGTAAGTGGGTTTATGTGTTAAAATATTATTTTATCTGATTACTTGCCACCACCAGTAAATAAATGGACTACTCCAATATCATTACAGTACAGTATAAATAACAATATTTAAATTATACAATGATCAGTTTTCAATCAGCACCTGACAATTGCATTGTGCATGAAACTCAGAGTTGTGTTACTGGTGAGGAAAAATATGTATATTATGTATATATATTTATATAATACAAATATAAAATTTGTCATTTAGCTGATTGATTCAGAACCTCAATCCCAGAGTTTCATAAATGAACCTTTTTGTAATTGTTCTGTCCACTTGTCAGGAGGTATCAGCAATTGTCTGCCAATTTTCTCATTTTTGTTATTCTTATATTAAACAAAATAATCTATGCAGTTTTTTATTGGTGCTCGGTTGATTTTTCTTTGTGTGTGTGTGTGTGCACAGGCATGTGTATGTATGGCTGTGTGTGTCCACGGGCATGTGTATGTATGGCTGTATGTGTGCATGGGCATGTGCACATGTGCAGGATGTCATGTTTATTTCTTCTTTTCATAATTTTCTTGTCTCCTTATATTCTCTTGTTATTCATTTTCTCTCTTACTTTGGCTCTGAGTGTCGAAGATAATGTAACAATGTTATTTCCGGTGTTGCAGACAAGACTTATTTTTAGGCTTATTTTTTCTTGACTATTTGGGAGTTTTCTAAAGTTTTTGAAAATATAGGTGTATTCTGTTTTGGTTTATTTGTTGTTTATATAATTTTATTTTATTTTATTTTATTTATTTTTTTTGCCAATGCTTATATACAGTCCTCTCCAAAAGTATTTGAACAGCAAGGTCAATTCCTTTGTTTTTGTTGTTCACAGAAAACATTTGTGTTTAATATTAAAAGATGAATATGAGACAAGAGTTCAGAATGTCAGCTTTTATTTCTTGGTATTTACATTTATATGAATGAACTGATCCATTCATAATAAGTAGTCCTAGGTAAGTGTCTAGAAAGGATAAAAAAAAGATAATACTATTGCGGTGACCTGTCAAGCTGAGTATTGAATTGTACTATCACAACTGACTCTGTCAAGTGTTATCTTGCCAGACCCCACATCACAACACTTCGAAATATAGATATAGGCCCTTTTGCATTTGTTTTGCTTGTTTGCTTAATGGCATATCAACTACTTATGGCTCATTTAGTGCCAAAATTTGATTTTCTTGTGAGCGTTAGTAATTTCTTTTACAAAAAATGTATTGTTGGTACTATTTTTTTTTTTTTTTTTTTAATGTTTTGCTGGTATTATTTTTTTCCTTACAAAATATAATTTCTGGTAATTCCTTTACTATAAAAATGCATTGCTGGCACTTCTACTACAAAAAAATGTAGTCTGTCTATATTTCTGAGATGAGGTATTACGTACATTATTTACATTATTCAGACTATTGTCCTCATCTTTTGTCTATATATTTATCACAAAATCGTTTTCATAAATTGTACCTCCAGCCTTCTTCAGATGGTTGGAATGTCGAACGGAACCCTTTATTTCGCTCACGGGGTAGACTGTTCTAGTTCCACGTGCCATGTTTGATGGATGTCAAAGTTTTTATCTCCTGTTAATTTCCTCTGAAAGTTCTCCAAACGCTTCATTTTACATGGCACAGTGGATAAAAGTGTTGGTTGGATACAGTGACAGGACCCAAAGAGTGTGAGTTCAATACCCGGTTAAGGCAGTGGAGAACTTTCAGAGGGAAATTAACAGGAGATAACTGATAACTGACATCCATCAAACATGGCACGTGGAGCTAGAACAGTCTACCCCAGTGAGCGAAATAAAGGGTTCCGTTCGACATTCCAACCACCTGAAGAAGGCCGGAGTGTACAACGGCCAAAACGTTGTGATAGATATGGCAACAAAGATGAGGACAATAGTCTGAATAATGTACAAAAATGTATTTTTAAATTTGATAGTGTTTTGACCCCAATTTGGGGGTTAACTCTTTGCCCATAGCTGGGACCTTAACAGGTACTACCACCCCTGGTCAGGGTGGACCTGGGAACAACAGTGATTAAGATTTGGTTCCATGCTCCTCAAAACTGCTTGATCAGAGGTCTTGTTGCCAGATGTAGTTTATCATCATAACGAAGATGGTTTTGCATTTGTATTACTCACTCTGAAAATGAGATATTCCATTATTATAGCACAAGATAAATAATCACTTTTGCATTGAGTAATACCTTGTGTTATTATAACAACAGAATATCTGATTATTACTAAATAGGTGGGGGACAGGATGTGTAACTGATGAATATAAAATATTTATATTGTTGAACCAATTATTAATTGATATCTACATTGAGAGAGAATTTATTTCATGCTCTGAATTGTTTTTCTTTTTTCAGGGATCTTTAAAGATCTACAAAATTCCGCTTCCACCTGACATAGAAGACACAACAATCACAGGTGGTGACCCTCAATATGGTCTCTTCCAAGGTTTGCCAAGCAATGATCCCATCAAAGTGCTTGTGAGGGTTTATGTCGTGAAGGTAAGCAGCAATGATATTTTTGTATTTACCTGTTGTGGGGTGAAAGAGTTTAGCAGAAATTAAAATCTGCATTTCCATTGCCAAAAAGTTGGTTCGCATATTTATATAAACTTTTAAATATAAAATTATTCTTGCAAATTATCTAATAAAATAGCATTTGATTCTTTTGCTGTCATTTCTCAAGAAAAATAAAAGAATGCATAAATCATTTCATATATCTGTATAGCGAAGAAAATGGTGACTTACCTTGTCAAACCAAGCAACAGTGCGTCAAGTGTATTCTACGATGGAAAATGTGGCGAAAAAGAAAATTACCTTCAAAACAGAAGGGCACGTATTCCGCATGACATGCTGAAAATGGAATAATTGAATTAAAGAAAAAAACAAGTCCATCGCAGGAGTCGCTATAAAAGTATTTTGATATGCAAAATACTGAACATCCTCTCCTAGCTGTTGACAAATGGAAAAAATGTTCAGCCGATAAAAGCAGTTGTTCTCGAATCAGGGGGCAAAATTGGGATATTTTGGTTACCGTGTTTGTTGGAGAATGAGTTATTTTTCTGACTGATTGCGTGCATTGTGATTCGTGAGATAGTACCTGCGAATCGAGTTTGCGGCATTTCTTTCTGCCCCTGATATTCGAGTCTGTACTTACAGTGATTTTTCTTTGTGTTGTGGGAGTAATCTGCAACAAATACTTCCTTTGCTTTCAGAACGCTTAGAATCTGTTTTTTATTAAAATTTTAAAATAGCTTAAAATAATAAAAATTGCCAAAGTAGTCTCTAATAATGATGGTGTCACACTTTTTTCTTTTTTTTTAGCAAGCATATATGTTAAACTTTACTGAAATCTTTTACATGTATGATAACAATCACCCATCTCTCCATTTCTTTAATATCTGTGAATAACCATAACTTCTTAGGAAAGATAGAAGGATGTTTTCTAGTTGCTTATTCCATAGTTTTGGCATGAGCATGTGGCCGAGTGGTTAGAACATTCACTTTTCAACCAAGAAACTTTTACCATGGTCAATTTGTCAGGAAGGGGACATCTTGATGTCATCATCCTGGGAAGAGGTGATCCCCACGTGCGGTACTTTTGGAAAGTGTCTGAAAAACCATGCCACAGGGTGACCAAGCCTTGTGAGTTTAATTGGATAAACTGAAATATTTGGAAGCCATTGTTGGTTGAGATATTGAGCACTTTAACCCATAAATATAGCATACCTTAATTTTATCATATTTAGCTCCTGCTAAACAGTAGAGTACATTTATGACTCGTCATGGTCATATAATATATATATAGGCACACAGATTAAAATCTCACCATGGTCGATTTGTCAGGGAGCGGATTTGTTGATCCCAATATGTAGCATCTTTGGAAAATGCTTGTAAAAATTAAAAAACTGGGGTAGCAACTCAAACACATGTACCCACTGAAAATGATGTTTATAGTAATAAGATATCTATCTATCTATCTATATATATATATATATATATATATATATATATATATATATATATATATATATTTGGATAGATGTGAGTTTTAATGACCCTTTTAGCAATCGTCAGACAAATCGCTAAAAGCGTGAAACCCAGGGTCACAAACTCACATCTATCCAACCAAATATGTTAGCTCTATCTCTGATATTGAGCACTTTCTAATAAGTACCACGCATATAATATATAAATAATTATACATATATATATTTATTTATATTTATATACACTTTTCACATATATATATATATATATATACATATATAGTCAAACCTAGAGAGCCAGACAAACCTACCAAGGTTTCACACTTTCTTTATTTAAAACCTTTTTTCCCTTCGAAATTTATTTGATCATTAGCAAATCAAGAAACCAAAGGTTTTCTTAGACGAGTGTAGTTACCTATATATATATATATATATATATATATATGGCATGATGATTGCATTTAGCATGAAACACTGTCACCTCTGTGTGTTGGCTTCAATGTTCACTTTCATATTTACATAATCTTTGTCCATGTTATTGAGTACCTTAACACATAAATATAGCATACCATAAAACTATATTTTATCATATTTAGCTCCTACTAAACAGTAGAGTACTTTCACTACATTTATAACTCATGGACATATATATATATATATATATATATATATACACACACACACACACACGGATTAAAATCTCATCATGCTCAATTTGTCAGGAAGCTGACTTGTTAATGTTATCAGTCTAGGGAGGTGATCCTAGCAAGCAGCATCTTTAGAAAACCTGAAAAACCATACCACAGTTTAATCTAAGACTTGTGAGTGAAATTTAGTTGATGAAACTGTTTGGAGGTCATTGGTAGTTGTGTTACCATGAAGTCACAAGTCATTGTGACTGGGGGTTTGTGCATATTGGCATTGTTCAAACTACTGATCATGACAGACCATGTGTTGTCTCCCAGTAACAATAACTAAGGTTCGCTCAACAGAATTGCAGTCTGAATGACAGGTGTGGGCTTTATGGATGCTGAACAAACACAAATATTACCTGAGCAGGTGTCTGCAACAGGGATTTGCTAGCTGGCCTAGAAAGACAGGTGTATTTGTAAAATAAGTAGTCAGCCATTACACAGACACACACAATCATTAACTGTATATTGAACTGAAAATTTAATTGTATAATACTCAATCTATGTATTTCCTATTAAAAAAAAAAAATATTTATTATGTAATTTTTTTTTCCTTCATTTAGGCTACTTACAGATACACCTACATACACACAGATGAGTTTGTACTTTCATTTTCAATCTTTTTCCCTCTCTGTAATACAAAGTGTCTTAGTGGCATTATCTCCTTGCTTGGGCTGAAATGATTGAAAAAATAAAGAGACAAAAATATGAAAAAAAAAATTAGTTCAAATTAATAACAAAACTACTGCACCTTAGAACAACTTCAGACATTGTTTGCAAACCTTTACTGGATGATTCGATCTGTTAAGCTGAGCAAAGAGAAGGGTTACTTACAAGAAACTGAGTTCATGTTATAAATGGGGAGGACCCAATTTTAATGGTACATTGTACAGAGTGCTTGTTAATTTGTTTTGCAACAATTCACACTCCACAGTACCACACCTTCTCACCCTGTCCATTGCACCATCCACCCACCCATACTCCTTGGCTGACTTTGCTGTATTGAATAATTCTACTTTTTCATCTACTCATATACATTTTCAGTCAAAACAAAAAACAAAAAAAAACTCAGTCATGACTGGTCCCATATTTAGCACTTGCTGGCATAGCTTTATGGTAATAGTAAGACTCGCCATAATATGCATATTGTAGTGGACCACCCTCATTCCTTTTGTCTGCTGATATGAAGTGGAAAGACTACAGTGGCTAAGAAATATTTTTAGCCAGGAGAAATAAACTACATCCAAATTCAAAATTTAATTACGTAATCTCTATTCAACATAAATACACATTATTTGGAACTAGTATAGAATAGGTCCTCCATTTGCTAGTTTCAGTGCTTGTATTCGATTTTTCAAGGATTTGATCAAGTTATCAACAATCATCCGAGCCATATTTTGCCACTCCTTTAGCAATATTTCTTTAAGGGCTGCCACTGAAGTGATTTTGATTGCATGCTCTCAAAGTCTTCAGTCAAGGTACTCCCAAACATGTTCTATTTGATTCATATCAGGATTTTGGGCTACTCATGGCAGTGACTTGATTCCTTCCAGGTCTTTGCTACTTTGCTCGTATGACATGATGCTCCATCTTGAAAAATGTAGACAGTCTTGTCAATCTGATTGGTTTCAAAGAGTGGGAGTAGTCCTTTCTCTAATATTTGACAGTATTTTGGACCATTCAACAAGATTCGGCTCAAATTTCCCTCCAAACCAGACAGCGCCCCACACCATTACTTCAATCCCTCCATGTTTCACGGTTACCTGCAGACATTCAGTGTTCCAAGTCTCATTCATCCTATTATTTGCCCTTACTTCCATGAACTTTCCTTGCAAGATATAAGTCAACTATTATTCATAGATGAGAGTAGCTTGATACTAACATGGTATTGTCTGAAAAAAAAGAAGAGACTTTATTAAACAAGCCAAAATTGCTATAATCAAGGGTGGCTAAAAACTTATCATAGCCTACTGTACATTGAATCCATTGCTAGGTCAACTGCTAAAAAACTCTGTTCACTGTGTTTGGTGAGACAACTTTTTTCTCCAGAATCTATCTTGCATATCTATAAGTCTATCATTCCTCCATGATTAGAATATTGCTGCCAAATATGCTCCAGTGACTCTGCTATGTACCTTGAGCACCTTGATAAAATCCAAAGAATCAGCAATATTATTAATCCTGATCTGGCAACTTGGTTTCAATCACTTTCCCACCCTTGTAAGGTTACCTCTCTATGTCTTTTCTATAAATACTTTCATGATAATTGTTTGGATGAGCTCCTAACTATGGTACTCACTTCAGCAGTATATATACTAAAATTTGGAATGAATCCAAGAAGATTTGCATGACCCATACACATGGATAACATACAAATTTGTGAAGCGTTCCATTTTTTTTTTTTACCCCCACAGAAAACGAATTGTACATATGGGTTCTAATTAGGATTTTCATAGAGACATTGAGGTATTATGGTGGATGTAGTAAATAAGAATGCATTGTTTTGGTGTTAAGAATATTGTGGTATGTTTAAGTCAGCGATTGTGGCTAGCTAAGTTAAGACAGAACAAGACTGTCCTTTTCCTCTTTCCCCATTTTGGCTTTGTGCCACATTTTGTATTTTTACAAATATTGCTCTTCACTATGGTACCTAGACTTTTTAAATTTAAGCACAGTATTAGATTGGCATTGGGATCTCATCAATTTACATTTGAGCTTGCTAAATGTAGCCATAAATTCTATGCTAACAGTTTCTTTTCTCACACTTTTGTGAATTTCTATTCCATCTACATGCTTTCCAGCCAACTTTAATCTGCAAAAACTTAAATGCAATGTCAATTGCTATCTACTGTCTTCCTGATTGGTCTCTTTTTCTGATCATCATTGTTTCTGTTCCTAATTCAAACACACCCTGTAGCTCCTTGTGTTTTTGGTGGTATTACAACTTAGCATGTGGTGATACCAATTAAAAATAAAATTTAAAAGAAATTAGAAAATTCTACTAGTGAAATGTTGTAGTGAACAGCCCCGTAAAAGCAAGCGAGCCAGAGTGGCTTGCATCTAGTGCATAGGAAAATAAGGGTCTTACCTTAAACAGGCGGCACATGACATCGACAAATTTGCTCTGTGAAAATTACTCTCCTGTCTAGCGATTTCAGCAGTATGTACAGTAACAAAGGTTTTTTTTACAGTTTGGCATGCTTCCACCAATAGAAAGTCGTGCTGTTTGGTTGAACTGGAGGAGGCTATTTTCCTGGGTAACTGTAGTGAAACTGAAAGGCAGCAGTTTGTGGGTTCTGCTGATCTGACTACAGTTCGCTGTTCTAAGAGGTAACAAGTGGCATGCATGATATGTAAGCGGAATAGTGGACGCTTACGCAAATGTAGCAACAGTCCATGGCTAAATGAAATGCTGGACGAACAAGGAGAAAAAAAAATGGCCTACTTTAGAATCCGAAATGAGCGTGAACACGTTTCACCTGCAGAGTGCCGGAAGTTAACAATAAAAGCACGAGCGTCCTTAGGGGGTGTTATTTATGAGTCACAGACGTGTAACGTATGCAAATTTTGGCCAGTTAGAAATGATATAAAACGAACAATCTCACAGCTGGGGGGGTCCCTTCTTTTTCTTTTGTTCTTCAGTTGGTCGTACGGTTCGGGTGTGTATATCGTTGGAGATTAAGAAAGACTATAGGAATCTATCTTCCTCACTATACTTGGGATGGCAGTGTCAAACTTAAAACCAACTCTTTTCCTTCAGTAACTGAGAATAAAAGTGAAGAATGCTGATTGGTTGGTTGACCGCAGTTTTGGCCTGATAAAAGAGGGCTGAAGCAATGAAAATGGCAGAACAAAAAACAGATTTACGTTGTGAAGTGTTCAGAAAGCAAGAACAGTGAATTGAACCAGTGGTATCTTGATTTGTACAAGTGACATCGTAGTAATAGAGACTGATTTAAACTTCAGGTGTAAGTGCCACTTGAGCAACTTCTTTCCATCAACTGCTGCCTTGAAGAATCAACTCCCAAGAGGATGCTTCCCCAATTACTAAAAGTTCAAGTCTGAAGTCAACTGTTACTTCTTACCCACAAATCCTAATAAACTGTGCCTCTGACTCTCTAATACTCTACCTTAAGTGACTCCCGGGCCTTGTACAGAGTAAACATCATTGTAAAAAAAAAAATGTAATGAAATAAAATGTAATAATAATGATGTTGGCTAAGTATAAATACACTGGAAACCAGAATTTGAATTTTCGGTTTTGAGCAACTCTGGATCATTAATGTCAGTGCAGTCTTATCTCAATAAGAATCTACCAGGAATCAGTAATAATGACATTGTGTTGTTGAAATGGCAACTACATTCACCTGACATGATACCTTGTAATTTTTTTTCTATGGGGCTACATAAAAGACAGGTCTATATATCCTCTCTTTCTACAAGCCTACAGGGTAGACCTGGGATCAACAACAATTAAGTGGTAGTTCTATGCTCTTGAAAACCTCCTGATCAGATGTGTTGCAGCCGGATGTAATTCGTCATCATGCCCAAGACCATCACTTCCAGTAACTCTTTATGTCTTAGTGGTATTTTCGCAATACTTGTGGTGAAATGATCAAAAAAAAATTATTATTTCTTATAAGCAAATGGTTAATATTACCATTTTTTTTTTAATGAAATTTCTCATTTTTTATTCAATATTCATTGCAGGCAAATGACCTTCACCCATCAGACATCAATGGCAAAGCAGACCCTTATCTTGTGATACGCCTTGGAAAGACTGTTATTAATGACAAAGAACATTACATATCAAAACAATTAAATCCAGTTTTTGGGAAGTAAGTAAATTCTTTCTTACTTTTTTAATTAACATATATTAAATAAAAAAAAAATAGTTATATTTTGCTTTGATGATTTTTGCTTATATATATATATATATATATATATATATATATATAAAGACATTTTTATGTTTAACATTCTTATTATAGATACAAATATTTAAGTAAATGCTCTGTTTATAATAAACAGTATTAAACAACATTTACTGGCCTGAATGTCTGAGAAATTTTCACAGAAAATATTTGTCCTCCGACAGGATTCAAACCTGTATTCTATACGGAACTGTCATTTAGCTTGATGTGCCTTTACCAATTTGGCCACGAAGGCACGTTCGGTTAGCAAGGTCAAATTTACTGTATTTAAACTTCAATCTTCCATGAATCTCTCGCGTACATTCATGTCTGCTCATGGCGTATCAAATGTAAACAAATGACGTCACACATTATGAAATGGACAAAATCCGACAATTATTTTAAAACATATAAATATATTATATAAAATAAATAACTACAACATTCTGCACATATGTGCATGCATAAAAAATAAACCTTGCACTTATGAAAAGTGCATAAATTATTTTTTAACTCAATGAAAAAGAAATGAGAAAATAACGTCCATCAGTAACAAATTTTATATTCGTATTAATCCTATATATAATAATGGACTCTCCCGTCGGTTTCAACCTATGAGCATCTGACAGCTTATTGATTCAGTTATGAAATTTTGTGCGATGATCTTAAGTGGCATTTAAGACCTGCTAGTGATTTACAAATGAGGCCACATATGGAGCAAGGGTGAGGATTGTGAGATGAGATCACTGTTAGATTGGCTGACCTTTTAGATCTTGCTCTCGCTTCTTGAAGATGATTCAGACAAGCAGATTGAAAATTGCTGAGTCTACTAAAACACGTTTGTCTCCATGCTGAAATGATTTCCTCTTTGGACTCATTGTTTTATAGAGAATTAAGCAACATAAAACAAACACTTATCAACAATAATTTCCAAAATCGTTTCGTTGATGAAGAAATGACTGTCTTTAAAGAAATTTAGAAAAAAATAATAAAAGCAACCAACTTCATATAAACAAAATTAAAGACACCATTGAATTTAAGTGTGCTACCAGAGTCGCAACTAGGTCTCACTGTTTTATTTTGAACTAGTTGGATGCAACCATCATTTCTACTTCAACAGTTTCTTTTTCTCACACTTTCCACCAATGAGTTCAGAGAACTGAAATTAATCCTTTTTGGTTAAGATACCTTCTATAATATTTAGAAGAGTCAAGATTATTCCAACATGCATTCAGAAAACTGAAATTAATCCTTTTTGGTTGAGATACCTTCTATAATATTTAGAAGAGTCAAGATCATTCCAACATGCATTCAGAGAACTGAAATTAATCCTTTTTGGTTAAGATACCTTCTATAATATTTAGAAACAGTCAAGATCATTCCAACTGTATTGTTCTATAATTAATCCTTTTTTTTAAATAATAATATTTAGAGTCAAGATCATTCTAACATGCATTTAGAGAACTGAAATTAATCCTTTTTGATTCAGTTCTATTCTAAGAATTTCTTTTCTCACACTTTTCACCTGTGGAACACATTTCTACCATGTCATGTCTTTCCTATATTTTCATGATAATTTTTCTAATATACCCTCCCTCTTTGGCAACTTGACCCCAAGAATTTAAATCCACTAGTAGATTGTCAACTTGGTTTCATCATTTTACTCTTGAAATAGCTACATGTAGACATAAGTACTATTCGAATAGTTTCTTTTCTCTCACTTCTTAAATGTGGAACTCCTTCTGATTTCTTGCTTCCCTGATAACTACAATCTTCAAAAATTTAAATGCAATGTATATCAACATCTGTCTTCTTGAAACCTGTTCTTTTTTAGTCTTCTCCTCAATCCTTCTCATTTTCAATCTTCTCATTCCCTTTCACTCCCTGTGTTCTGGCGGCATTGTCTCCTTACTTGGGATGAAACAATTAAAAAAAAAAAAAATTAGGTGAGCCATTCTGATAATGATAAAAAAAAAATACTCCCTACCCTCCTTTGCTTCATATTTACTAAATTCTCTGCCCCTGTAATATTAGCTAGAAGTCGTATCAAAATAAAAGTCAGTTTGCCACCAAACAAACACAGGTTCAGCGAGAAAAAGATAGAAGAAGACAGGTTAGCAATTACCAGATGACAACCCACCTCTAGGCAGTTTTCACCTTTCAGTTGGGTAGAGTGGGGATACAGCAGGGATGGAGAAAACCTGTAAGATGAAGTGTAGTAGAAGGAAAAAGAGAGTTTGATGAACATCACCTTCAATCAAAAACTGACATTGTGAGTTCTCTTCTCTTGTCCTCTCCAACTAAAAGAGATAAAAAAAAAAAGCAAAAAGCAAAGTCAGATCAGGGACACTTCTTTATTGTTCACTCAAGATAATATTAACTGATGCACAACATTGATAACCAGGAACATTCTTCCTGGAAAGTCATTAAAAAGCTATTAATTTCTTGATGATAGTCTATAAGATGAGACACATAAAAAATATAGTACAGGAAACAAAAGCAGAAATCTCTTTTTCAACTTATAGTATCTTGTTTCTTCTTGAATCAAATTTGATTGAGTTGGGCTCCTTTTTTATTCATTTCTTTCCTTCAGACTTGATTTGTTCTTCATAATTTATGATCACATTTTTTGCAGCAAGAATCAAGTTACCTTCAGATTGATGTTACCTTAGAAAAGTCACCTTCATTTTTCTTTACTTGGGTTATTTATACTTTATAACTTGTGTCTGTATACTTACCTGGCATATATATATATATATATATATATATATATATATGGTGGAGTAATGGATATTTGGATTGAGGAATTGGAGAGCAGGTCAAATTTATTTAGTCGAATCCATTACATTCATTACGTACTAATACCCTTGAAAAAGTGTGAATCCTCTTCTCCTCCAGCTATGGGTAAATAGCAGGACAGACTGGGTTCTATAGCCTTGGATGGCAACTGGTCTAGGAGAAGGACAACTCTAAATTCAAAACCTATGGAGGGTTGTTTGGGGACCTTGAGGCACTTAATGCACCAGGTCTTTGTATTCGGCCCTTCAAAAAGTGTGAATGGTTCTACACGAAACCTTCACAACTATAATCAAATCTCATATGCTGTTATCGGGCTGTCGGTTTACTGGGAACTGATCTGCTTGACCCTCATACATCGAATTTGACGGGAGAGTCGAGTATATATATATATATATATATATATAAAACATGAATCATTCATACAAAAAACAAATTAAGTCCATGCCACATTGACTGAAAAAACTACTACAACAAAAGAATTCTCCAATTACCATATTAGTAAAAAAAACTCACTCTCTTTTAAATTTTCAAAAACTACAACCTTAGCATTGCGACCACAAGCTCCAGAATTTCTTACAGTTAACAATAACACATTTCTAAAACACGTATTTCGACTCACATCTAATCTTTCATGTCCCGTCATTACCTGGATGTATTTAAAAATAAACAAAAAACAAATCAATTCCCATGCCTGATGATGTCTGTGTGAACAGATGAAAGTACTTGCAAAAAAAAGACCTTATACAAGTTGAATTTATTAAAAACGGTGATCACAACATTCATCTAGAGGTTCGTGGGTTAATGTAATTTAATAAATTTGTTTGTGAAGATGTATTCTCACCATTTATATCATTAACTTCACTAATCTGTTTTTTGCATGAATGATTCATGTAATATATAATATATAACTGCAAATATATATATATATATATACATATTTTATTTATATATATTTTTTTTAAAAATCAAGAGGTCAAATTGAATCCACTAAAAAAGTTTCAAACTTATGGTCTCCTCAGATGATTTTTATTGATGAAATTTTAATGTTTTTTTTTTTTTTTTAAACTACTGTTTCCTAGTCTGATTTTACTCTGACCATTAACATTTATGTATTTTATATATATATATATATATATATATATATATATATATGGTACTTATTTAAAAGTACTTAATATCAGTAATAAATCTGAACATATTCAGTTGTATGTATATCAGTTTGTGACCCTGGGTTTCACACTTTTGCAATCATCAGACAAACAATGTCAGTTTGTCTGATGATATAAAAAAAGTTAAAAAACCAGGGTCATAAACTCATATCCATCAACTGAATAAATATATATATATATATATATATATATATATATATATATAATAATAATTTTTTGTTTAAAAATATGATTCCTTCAACTACATAAGAGTTCTCATGTTTCAAAAAAAAGAGCGAAACCATCCAAATAATTATTAAAATTAAGTTGAATTGTGGTTTTAGTCCCGTTTTCATTTTCAAAGCGAAATTTTTAGGAATAAGCTATCTCTCGGTTTACATGTATTTTTAGGCATGGTCCGTTACAAAATTCATTATTGTGGGAGTGGCTAGACTATTTTCCTTCGTTAAGTGGTCAGAATTAATTCTTATCAATCGATTCATCATCTTCTGAGAGGTTTTGCTAAGGTTGGGTAGGGTATCTATTTCAAGGCTAATGTTTGCGGTCACCCTTTAGTTGGTTCCCAGTAACGACTTGTAGGCGCGCCATAAAAATATCCCTCACTGGGAACCAACTAAATGCCTCCATTCATCTTACCACAGAGCCTCAAACTCAACACGAGAAGGTATTACTTCCTGTGTCTAGAGGGTGGCTACTAGAACACCCTATGTCTAGCAACAAGACTCTGCACAATGCCACACAAGCAAGAGAACACAGTAATAATTTCTACGAGCATATCACCCCCCCTTACATCTGGCTACCTAACCCCCTTAATTATTATTTATGGGGCAAAGTTGAGTGAGAGACCAACAAAACTCCTTGTAACACCAAAGATGAATGAAGGCAAGGATTATGGTCACATTCCAGACGATTTGCAAGAGATTCTGAAGTTGTCTGGAGGTTGTGTTTTAAGCCAAT